ATCCACATGTACACGTGGGGCATGTGCATGGGTGGACTACTGTCCCAGGGGAATGAATTTTTCTGCTCCTCTGGCAGAGGACCATTTATTTTGTGGTGGAGGTGGAATCAATTGATTCCACATATGTGAACTGCTGCTTTTTTTTTTAATGGTCCTATCGGATACAGCGCTATATGAGATAGCAGAAATTATTTTTAAAAACAGTGCTGTGGTTGTTAAAAGTCAACATTTGCCCAATCACTCCCCATGACCTGCCCAAAATGTGTCCATTGGTGACCACTCCCATGACCTGTACAATGCCCCCATTACATGTCCAATCTCCACCCCATTTCCTGCCTGCACCTGACATGGTGTGAGGATTCAAACACTGACACAAATCTTTTGGATTGTGGCTAAAGTTCATATGACTTTAGCCTGAACCCAAATCTATCCCTCTTCTGGTTTATTTCAGCAGTGGGAACAGGTGGCACATAACAGGTGGCACATAACATTCCTTACTTTAGGTCCCTATATGGGACCTAAAGTAAGGAAAACACATTCCATAACAGGTGGCACATAACATTCCTTACTGGAAAACACATTTCCAGTATATCTAGTATTGCTAAACGAATGATATTGCAGCAATATTCAGACATCTTTCCATCATCATATTTCTCTCTTAGCAAAGTAGCAGTGAGTCCAAGTAATGGCATGTTGTATTGAATAAATTAAATAGGAAATCAGTGTTGAGTCTAGAGTTATGTCATCTTCTTTGTTCGTGTCAAAAGCAATCCATCAGCCAACAGTGGACCATCATTTCCCAGGGGACACACAGGCATGTTCTCACATTCTTCAGGGAATGCCACTGATGTAGCTGAAGTATCTTTTGAACCAGTCATCCAGAGAAACATAACAGTGCTATCACTAAACATTAAATTAACATTATTACTTGTATGCCTGATGTTACTCATACAGCAGTTGCATGGCAACATTTGAAGCCAATGGTTGTTTACATATTATACTGAGTGGGTAACATTAGTTGTGGAGCAAGGAGAAGAATCATTATGTCTTGAGCTGTTAATTCTCCAGTGTGAGATGGGCAAATGACAAGAAAAAATTGTGGCACTATGCAGCTTGAAACATTGAAAAGAAAGCCACAGTCTCAGAGGTCAAAGAAAAATCTAGAGGTCAACTGGAAAAATCAGCAGTAGCTGAACATGCTCTGAAACAAGATGCACATGAAATCCTATTTCAAAACACAGAAATACTGCACAACACCAGCAATCATTATGTTAGACTATACAGGGAAGCTATTGAAATCCACAAACATCAGCACAGCTTTAAAAAAAAACCAAAACAACAACTCAAGAAAGCCTGGCTCCCAGCACTGAAAAATACAGCCTGCAAAAAGGTCAACAAACTTGGCTCAGCCACAAGGACCAGTGATCACTGCACACAAAAGACTAGCTAACAACACCCATCAATTACAGTGACAGATCCTCTCCCCCTTATCACAACAATATACCCATTTAAAAAAACACCCTGATGACCATAATCACCCAACCTTCTGGAAAGGACAAAAAGCTGATCCCACAGCTACAAATACTCAACAATCCCACTCACTACACCAGAACGCAGAGTTCTGACTCCTGCCCTCTGAAGATGTCAGCCACAGAGACTGCCGAAACGTTAGGAAGAAAAACCTGCAGAACATAGCCTAAAAACCTAAAAAACCTGCAACAACAAAAAGCCTAGTTGTCTATTACACCAGTGCCCTGCTTTGTTTAGTGAATTTTACAGAAGCTTCACATGATGCCATTCTTGACTTGTAATCGTCCCCTTTTCTTCCAGCAATTTTTAAAACAGAAAATCCATGAAGACGAAAAGGACGTAAGAGTTACACAGTGTCATCTAACTTCTAGCACGAGGACACCGACCATCTGGACATTTCCTTAAAAACTGGAAGGAAACAATGGGATGCTACCTACAGCAGATATTTTTAATCTGTAGAAGTGAGAAGAAGAGAAAATGCAGTGTATTTACAGTTTCATCTCCATTCTTTCAGCAAACAAACAAACAAACCTTCCAAATAAACAAGAAATACTGCAGGAGGGAGATTGAAAATTATATTCTCTTCAGTTTCAGCATCAAGTATATATCCAGGCAAATGGGATTTGCGACGGTTAGATAGAAAACAATCCATTTTCAAGGTAGTTAACATCAAAGTCTATGTTGAAATTACTTCCCAATGGGATGTTTATGTTTTCAAAATCTATATTTATATATATGTAAAAAACTATCCAATCCTGGTAACATGGCAGACATAAAAGTTTGTGATTCTTTATTTATACTTGTAGAACAGGGAGGATCCAATCCTTGGGTCCATAACTTGAGAAACTGCAGGGAAAGGATGCACTGGATGCAGAGAAGGAGATGACAGTTAAATTTGTAGAGGTAATTTTGCCCTTTGATGGCATCTTTGCCCTAGAAATTATTGTTGAATGCATACAGGTTTGAAACATCATGGGTTTCTGAAAAGAGTTATGGATGATCTCAGCATTTTCACAGAATTATAGGTGAGATCATGCCTAATGGAACTGCTTGTCAGACTATATTTTTCAGGAAAAAGGAAATGGAATAATTACCAAATTAATTTGTATCTACAGCATACTATCAAACTATGCAATAGACATCATTAGACTCTTGCCTCTTTGTATTGCATATGAACTTGCTTTGATTTTATGATTGGTCATCTGGAGGTAAACAGGGCTTTCATTTTCAAATCTGATTGCTTAGGACAGAACTTTGAAGGAAGTCTGTTTTTGGAGAGAAAATATTGCAAGGACAAAAAAAATGCATTTTTCTTAATTTGGTCTCTGCCTTGAGAATTCTTCCAAAATACCTTTAGAGCAGCTGCATAGTTGCTTATGTATGATGACACGATGTGAAACAAAAATAGAGAAATTATTAAGAAATATTAATTAAAGGGCCTGATCTGGTGGTCTGCCAAAACATAGTAAATCAGTGGGGTATAGTGGTGGACTAGGATTTAGGACATCTGAGTTCAAAACCCATGGTGGGAAAAAGCTGCATTGATTTTATTACAATTTTTTCCAAACGAAAATTGGATCTCCAGCACCTAGCTACATATCAATGGCAGTTGCCTGGAGAAGTATGTTTAGAACTATACCTATATTTTATGGAACAAATATTTTATTAGTGTTACCTATGAACATTAGAGGCATCTTGTTCTAAAACTAAATTAAGTGAGAAAATTTTAGTACAGAGAAATAGTTGCTTCCAAGCAGAATTCTCACAATTCAGCATGAAGATATTAGATTGTGGGCTAGTAGGTCTAAATGGACTGGTTATCCTTCATCCTCTTTGATTCCTGTTTTACAAGGTCTGATGACATCATGACAAACTATTTAATGAGATCTGGCCTCCCCAAACAGTGCTGAACTGGTATAGATAAAAGACAAAACTGCTGAAGTTTCGTCCCTGGATGACAAAGCAACTAATACCTAAGAATAAGAGCAGAGAAAAATGCAGAACATAGAACATATTCAATCAGTTTCATTGTTTTAAGTAGCACCGGAATTATACAGAGATCTGAGCCCCATCTGCCTTTTGTGCTGGCCCTCTTGGTTGCTCTGTTTAGAAAGGTATCTGGGGCATAACTTGCATATGTTATGGTGTATCGGAAAGAGGTAGGTCTTACGGGTTAAACGAGCTTCTTTTCTACATCGTATTGGGGATGTTAAACCTGTTTCTGTGTCTCACCTTCCCAGTAAACTAAGAATTTAATTTCAAATTGGGTTTGGATTAAAATATGCAGATTTCTTTCTATTCAGGAAATACATGCATTCAATAAAAACAAAATAGTGGAAGGAAGAAAGATATGTGAGAAGATTTGCCCATTCAGGACTGGGGTTTTTAATGTTGAATTCTGAAAAGTCTGAAGCCCTGCTCAGTCATCTTTCACGGCATGTGGATGAGGTCCTTTGTGACAACATCTCTTTAATCATAGAAGTGCAACTGTCAGAAGAGAGGGTGGTTGTCCAGGTGAGCCTGAAGTTATATCGTAGGCCATGTGGGCACAGTAGCCTCCTCTTCTTTAACCTTTCTGCAGCAGGCAAATACAATGCAGTCTCTCCTCTTTGCTTAGAATAACTGTCCCTACCTATTTAATTTGGGTGGATTGGATGGCAGATAACCTTGTTTGTGTTCATTGTCTTGCCTTTGGGGGCATCTTAAAGACTATAATGTTTAATTTCATAAACTGCAGTCTATCAGATGTAATGTGGTCTTTAAGGTGCCACAAGATTCTTCGCTATTTTTTTTTTCTGAAACAGGGTAACATATCTATCTGTAATTCATTTTTGGAACAACTGCCAAACAAAGTTTCTTCATATTTGACAACTGGAAGTTCCCACTATGGTTCATCTGCAAGCATAGATCTGTTAGCCATGGATCAGGGCTGGTCTCTTTGCATCATGTTTGATTGGTTGTCCCTAGAAATCTCCTCTTTTTTTGCCTGGCTTTTTTCTGTCTTCTTATTTGTATCCTGGAGTGCATAATCTTTTCATCACCTTGTTACCTATTGCCACCCCTCCTTTATCTCACTTTATTTGCAATCCTCTTTCTTCTTAAGTATTTTTCATTGCCACTCAAGTTGCCAGCAAAGCCAAACAGTGAGAGGTGAAAGGGGTTGAAATCAAGCAAAATCTGGAATGCCGTGTTGTACAGTGGAAGCATAAAATCCATACATTGTGATATTACATATATCTTTATAGTCATGAAGCAATAACCCAAGCCTCCACACCCCCATATAGAAAAATTTAAAGGCACTGTTATTTAGCAACTATAATGTCTTGAACAGCAAAACAGAGTAGCAAGAGATCTCTATAATCATAGGGATAAACACATGCATTTCTACTGGAAGTTGGAAGTAGAATGATTTTATTAAAAATACCCATACCGAGGAAAATTGCCAAAGGAGCATCCGAAGCTCGTGGGTCACATATTGTGCTATTTTCGTACAGAATCCAATATTCTTACTAGATTATTGAAAAGAAAAAGAAAGAAAAAAAAAGCAGTATGCAGCTATCAAATATACTAGAAAAGACAGCCCCCTGGAGATTGTAACAACCTTTATTTTAGTTGCAGTAGTATAGAATACAGGTGTTTGTAAAACCAGCCCCAAAATAACAAACGGGGGGAGGTTGTGCAAACTGAACCAAAACTGTAGTTGTCAAGGAAATTACAAACCTTGCAATCCATAGAAAAATGCTTCCATTCTTTGCTTGTGTCTTGACAGGTGTTAATTTATCATATATGATAAAGACTATCAGTTGTAAAATATAGTTCCTAGGACTTTTCTGGTTAAACAGAATATGCATGTGTCCCAGACTGAATAAAGATTAACACCTCCTTGCTCTGTAGCTTTTCCTGGAAGTTGACCCCAAAGATAGTAATAAACAGCCAGCAAAGTGCATTTATAACAATTCCCCTTTTTTTCCCTGTGCATCCCTTTAAAAAACAACTCTTCAATAATTATTTTTCATGAGGTCCTCTACTAACAAGTGAGCCAGAAAGTGACGGATGGTGAAGTGAAGGAAGCAGGGTTTAGGTACTCTGTCTTCTTCTTGATGCTATCTCACTTTTTGAAGCTCTTGTCTTAGCCAAGATGGCAAAGGTTGTCCCAGTCTGTGTAGCAGTTTGGACAGTTCCACGTTCTGATCTCGGTAGTAGTTGGAAAGGAACTCTCTAGACTGGCAATAAGGGAAACAAAACAAAAATGTCAAATAATTAAGAGCTATTGGGAGTCCTTCACAGGATTTGTTTAAATAATCTCATGAAAAGAAATCCACCATATTCAAAAGAGTAAAAAAAGTATATAGGTTATTATACATATTTATTACATCTTGAGCAATTTATATAATGATGATGATGATGATGATGATGATGATAATAATAATAATAATAATAATAATCTGTGTCATCTAACAGGGTTGGTCGAAACTACAGCTGTAATTGTAGTGTAATTATGTTATTTAAAAGGGTGTGCAATGTTTGCAACAAGAAGATGCCTACCTCTGAAATTAGGCCTTCCAGCCCTATAGGAACTCCTAAAGATACTGGTCAGGAGCTTTCCTTTGCCAAGTAGTAAAAAGCCTAGGTCAACTTAGCGCCAGCAAAAGGGAAAGAAAATATATTTCGTGCCAATATTGGAACCCTTACATTGCATTTTAACAAATGGGGTCATTCAAGATCATGGCTCTACCATGCCTCTGCTGTTAACATGGTTTTCTATACAGACCACACTTCTATACTTCTGACGAACAAGCTAGCCGACATGGAAGCTACTGGATGACATGGAGCTACTGGAGCCAGCAGTTCATTTCTGCACTGTGCCTTGTAGAAGAGCCAGGCTGTGCAGTTTGGGGCCAGTCCCGAAGTGCTTCCTGAAGAAGAAAATGGCAAACCATTTCTGTAGGCCTAGAAAATTCTGGAAAGGTTTAACCTTAAATCAGAACCAATGTAATGGCATTATACATGTTATTTTCCAGTAAGCAAGAATATGTAGCATAAATCATTGCATTAGACTGCACAAGGCACAATTCAGCTCCCATTCAGTTTTGTGCCACCAGTAAAGGTCAACAGTTTTGGTTCCCTGCTGAGCTCCATGGGTATACAATGGATAACTTTATTTTTATTTTATTTATTTATTCAATTTATATCCCGCCTATCTGGTCGATATGACCACTCTAGGCAGCTAATGTTCAAAACTTCTGGCTTTGCTCTTCTTCCTCCCTGTCTGTCCAAATACTTCTATCCCTGGCCACGCAGGGGGGTACACATATGCTGTGTGTACTTTATATAATCCTTGCACCCTAATATTGTGCTTCATATATATGAAGAAGTGGCTTGCAATTCATGAAAACCCACATAGAAATGGATGGTATTTATAGGTGCTACAATGGTATTGCTTTTGCTTTTTTCTGACCAAGTGACCAGTGATGTGTGAAAAGAGAGGAAAGGATAGTCCATGTTGCCCTTCAGGCTGGTTGGGTGGCTTTGGATCCTGGAGAAAGAGGGGCAAAACAAGGAGTGGCAACAAAAGCAACAGTGAAAACAAATATGATCCATTTTAAAAAAAGGGGGGGCAGATTTTTCACCAATAGACCACCTCAAACCTGCTTACAGCATTGATCTGCTGTTAATTTTTGCTTCATCGAGACAGCAAAATTGTACTCAGTAGCAAGAAAGGCCAAAACCCTATTGTGATATAACATATACATAAGGGAAATGGTGCAGCTCCCACTTTCTTGGCATCCAATGCCCACCTCAGTGTGCAACTGAATGAACAATGAAGCTCATGAGCAGGGTGGGTGTGAACATGCAACAGATAGCCAGTACAACCGTGTGCACTAGTTACGTGATCTGAGATTTGCACTAGGTAAACATGATAGGATTGTGATCACTGCTTTAATTACTAAGACAAGTATATGACAAAAACCATACCTCTTGATCCATTGGTGGGTATTTCCGACCTTTGCTTTTCCCCAGACATTTTGTCTTTCCTCCTTCCAGCAGCTGACACCAAAATCCTTTCTGGGGATCAAAGCTACAAAAGTTTGCCTAGATTATTGTGAAGTCTGGATAAGGGGACAGCTAAAGCCAGTCTCAACCATCTAAGGCAGCCATTTAAACTTATCTCAAAAGCCATGCTGGCAGAGATTTGTAATATTATCCTGAAAAGTCAAAGATAGGGTGGTTGTAATGCTTTTAAAAATACACACCAAAGAATGAGGCAAAGGCCATACTTGGTTTTGAATATACTGTTTTCAAACTTAAGTCATACATAAAACATGGTGAAAGGGTTGCATTAGGTCATATGGGGAAAAGTGTGTATTCCATTCGGCAGGTGTTGGAAAGGTCTAACTCTAATTGGTTGGAATACAAATGGCAGTAGCTATTATACAACCATACACACACACCTATACAGATAGGGCAAGAGTGACAGCGAAAAAGATCCAGGCGGTATTTTGCCTTGCTTCTTTTTTTACTTCCCATAGCAATGCAGCTGCATATACATAAGTGAGCATACTCCAGACAAAGAAGGGTTACTTTTCCAGTTCTGTCTGTTACTGTGCTAATTTTCAACATTCAATCTGCCCATGGTAGTGGTATCAATTAAAATGAAATAAATCATTGATTAAATGGATACATTGAGGAGAGATTCATTTCTAGCTTGGATTTCGCAATCTCATTTTTTTGCATAGCAAAGTGGTTTTGCTGGCTTTCAATAATTTCCCAAGAGAAGAAACAATATTACTTGCTATGCACAAGGAAAGAAACAATACCATAGAACAGTGTTCCAAACAATGCATCAGCTTTCAAAGAAATGCACTTAAGTTTACCAAGGCAGATTGTTAATTTGGAAGAACTTTTTCCATCCTGTAAAACACCAAAGGTATTTGCTGGAACCAACTGATTTTTTTAGTATTTGGTGCCAAATATAGCCATGATAATTGAGTATGGGTGTGATCCAGCCACAGTTAAGGATTTTTACATGCCCTTGGTTTCATTGGACACTCCTGTTTTGGCTGCTAAATTGTTAAAGGGCTTAACATGGGCTCTCTCTGTAGGAGCAAAAAAACCCCCCTATGTTATTCTTATACGGATCAGCCATAACATTAAAACCACCTGCCTAATATCATCTAGGTCCCTCTAGTACTGCCAAAACAGCTCTGATGTGCCAAGGCATGGACTCCACAGTTATCTAGCCATCACTATTTGGCCCTTGTCAAAGTCACTCAGATTTTTTCGCGTGTCCATATTTACTGCTTTTAATGCCTGAAATTCAAGAATTGATTGTTCACCTGCTGCCTAATATATCTGCCTCCTTGACAGTTGCCATTGCAATGATATAATCAGTGCTATTCACTTCACTTGCTGGTGGTTTTAATGTTGTGTCTGATCAGTGTGTGTATCTCAGTGCACATTCTGAGTCGATTGAACTAAAACATATTGGAATATGTATGTGTACAATTCGAATACATGGACAATTTAAACACACCCACCCACAGCACAAATGAAAACATACTTGAATGTTGAGGAACCACTGATTGCACAATGTTTAATCCTTTAAGTGTGAGTGGGGAATGTGCAGCCTGCTTAAGCTTTCCGACTGTCACCTTTATAAGTCCTGGTGAGTAGAGCTAATGCTGAAGGATCATGAGGCTTAAAGCTTGGCAACACCTGGAGGCCCACACACTCCCCATTCATGGGTAAGTAGGACACATCAAGTGGATAAAGACGTTTCATTTGTTATGCAAGCCTTCACATGATACAGTATAACAGATTGCCAATAGAAAGTGCAGGGGCTGAAGTTTATAACAAGGGAAAGAAGAAAATGACATAAAAGGGACTCACGTTAGGGCTTCAGAATAATTATAATGAGGAGAAACTCCCAGAAACTTCTGCACTTCATCCATTATGCTAGCTGGATCACTTCTTAGCTGCTGTCCATCGATTATTAGCAACTGTATAAACAAATACATTGTTTCTTTAAATACGCCATGTCAATCAGATGAAGTATGAAGCAATGCTGCATGATTAATATATCTAGAAAAAAAGATGACTTGTCACCAAATCCTGTTTGCTGTGACATAACATGAGAAATGTATCTATTATAATGCATCAGAATCACTTTATATTAGCAAAGCTCTTGAAATCACCCTTAAATGTGATCAGCCTGTGATGGGCAAGGATGTCCTCACCAAAAATACATCAGTGAAAGATCAAAATGGTTATGAAGTATCTTCCCATTTATGTATCTGGATTGCAGCACCATCACAAAGGAAGGCATAACCACCAGCATCTGGAAGAAATTACTCTTTATCGTTCTTTAAGTGTATGTCTGTCCTGTGTGCAAACACTTAGATCCAATTGGTGGATCATGGGATTTCCCCCCCTGAAACAAAGATTTCATATGAACCTGACATTGTCTACTCCCCAGATAGGTCAACCCCCCATCTCTTTCACTTTTCCCAGCTCTTATCCCAGTACATTGTACCAGTCCCAGACCAACATGTACGTCCTAAATCCATTGGCTTGTCCCAGCTACAGCAGACCTTTTAATTTTCTATTTAGCAATTGATTCCCAGGGACAATTGGATCCATTGATTTATTTAGGACTGGGAATTGGATTGAGATTTATATGCTTTGCGGAATGTTTTAATCCTAGTGCTTGCCTGCGTACACAAACATCTCTACAGACAACCATGCTACCTATATTGAGAGAGCTCACTGTGTATATATATCTATATTTATGGCATATTCAAGGCATGAAGAACATTGTTTGAAATTCTGCTCTGCCACCATTGCTTATATTTTGGAAATGTCAAGATTAACTGCTCTGGTACCATACTGGAAGTGTGTGATTACAGCGATTTTGATGCTGCTGTGGTTCTTGAGAACAGTATATGGTTTTAAAAGCTGCCTTACTGGATATTCTTTGTGTGTGAACTTAGTTTGAATAATTGAAGTTTTGAGTGCACATTATTAATTATGAGTGCACAACAACTGCAATGTACTTTAGTACATTTGGTTAAGTGCTCAGTGTTACAACTCTTGTAAAATGAATCTCACCAAGCAAGCACGCAGGAGAAGCAGCAGTGGTGCAGGTGAATACTTTTAGATGGTAATGGCTCTACCAACACCCTTTAGAGGGCTAGGTTGCAATACATCACACACCTACTTTTTTTTTTCCTCTGAAAAGAAAATCCCATACTTTACAGTTAAGAAACAGCATATTAGAATGTTCAACCAGGATACACAAAATTGGGATTCAAAGCTCAGCTTAGCCGAGAAACTCATGTTCTTGGGCCAGTCACACATTCTCAACCTGGCCTATGTTACACAATTGTGGTGAGAATAGTGTGGGAGGAGGAGAGCCATGTATAATGTCATTGGAGGAAATGTGTGATGTAAATGTAACAAACAGGCAGACAAAACAAACAGTTTCTATATGCCCAATAAATTGCCAAAACCAAGCACAAACTTATTCTGACAAAGAAAAACCTGCTCAGAGGACTTCTCTTTTATCAGAGTGGGATCAACATGACTTCAGGGACAAAAGGGAGGAAATTTCTACTGCCCTGACACTGAACACAGGGGCTTGGAAATAAACAGTATTTCTGCAGGTTACTCAGTCACAAGATACAGAGAAAAAGTAGTTTTCTTCCAGGTGTTTGGTATGGGTGGACCCTTTGAGCACCAGGCTTGCTTGAATCCCATGCTTTAGTGGAATGTAGTCTTAATATTGTATCTGTGGCCTTGCTGAGTTATCTCTGCAATACCAGAAGCTCTTACACAAATAATTTTTGCACAAAAATATTCCTATGGAGAAAAAAGGATTGGGAGAATATTTACACTGTTATGTTCCAACATTCATATTTATTTATATAAATCACTGATCTTCTGGGACTGGAAGAATTTTTTTTTAAAAAAAAATCCTCTTAAAAATTCCACAGTCTGTAGATGTCAAGAGATTTCCCAAATTTCCCCTATAGTGAACTCTTTCAGTATTGAATGAACATTTTTCTGTATGCCAAATACTTAATCTTTTAAAACGAGCCATTAAATGTATGCTTGAGGTGTTTCAATCCATTATTAAGCAAGTTACAATATTACAATCCATTATTAAGCATATTACAGTATTAAACAGGTTATCAAGATATGATGATCCTTTATCACGGGGGAGGGGAATAGAACACTTAATAAAATGGAAATTACCTGTGAAGTAGGGAAGTGCCTTAGCCATCTTTCTATATGGATAGCGTACCAGCCAGGAATCAAACACCTTTTCTGCAGAGTCCTTAGCTCAGGGGGTGCCCAGTCATCTGAAGTAATAACTTCATAGAAATTGAACTTCAGAGCAGCAGCATCCTCATGGGAACGCTGATGCTAATTGAAAGAAATTTGATGGAAATTAATCCCAAGCCAGGTAGAGATTTACCCTAGTCCCCTAGTCATCTACCAGAATGTCTTTCCCCAATTCTGATTAATGTGGCAACTGTAAACAGTTGCAGACAAATTGCTGACATGTCTTTGTTCTCATTGTACCCATCCATCCATCCATCCATCCATCCATCCATCCATCCATCCATCCATCCATCCATCCATCCATCCATCCATCCATCCATCCATCCCTACGAGCATGGGCTGATGACATTCCATACTTATGATTAAGTGGGATTGATGCTACAAAAGCATATTTCATGATAAATTTGTTAGTTATTAAGGCAAAAGTGGGAAAATGTTTTCACTCTAAGATTAATATTCAATCCTTCCAACACAGAGAGAAACTGAACACGGGGCTGAAGGCAACAGCTTGGGACCAGATATACCAGTATATTTGAGGTCAAATCTCTTACTGCTAGTATATTGGCCTAGGAGAGGCATGTTGAACTATTCAGAGTAAGGAAAATCCTGTCCTAAGGTGATTGTATCATTGAAAAGGGGAAATAAGGACCAAAGAGAACTGAACTAGCACCTCAAAGGGCTAGTTTGACCTCAGGAATTAAGGATAACCACCCCAGTTGGTTATCTAAGACTCTTGTTTTTAATTGTTCTGGAAATCATTTTACTTAAAGAAATCTAGCTACTGTTATTCATGCTTGATAAACTCTAACTGATATAATATGCTGTTGCTCACCTTTTGACAGACGGGAGTATAGAATCATAGAATAATGGAGTTGGAAGGGGCCTATAAGGCCATCAAATCTAACCCCCTGCTTAATGCAAGAATCCAAATCAAAGCAGATCTGACAGATGGTTGTTCAATTTTCTCTTGAATGCCTCCACCGTTGCTGCACTCAGCACCTCCTGAGGTAATTAGTTTCACTGTTGTGCTGTTAAGGGGTTTTTCCTGATATTCAGCCTAAATCTGACTTCCTGTAGTTTGAACACAACTATTCTAAAACTGGCATTGGCTAACACACTTCACATTCAGGTTGAAATCAAGATTCTGTGTTTCACTTTTAAAACCCTCCATTGTCTAGCTTTCAGATAGCAGGAGGGACAGTTTTTCATATATGCCTCCTACCACTTAACTTTGTTTTAAATTAACTAGTGAGACCCTGCTTGATGTTTCCATCTCTAAGGAGAATACTGTTACTAACATTGTTATTATTTCTACAGCTTGCATGCCTGCTTCTCAGCAGGACTGTAGATAACTTACAAATAAAATGCACACAAATTAAAAACAAGCAAAGTTTTCGGATAATAACAATAGGATGTGGGGAGAAAATCTAAAGTGTGTTCCCCTGACAAGTCCCCTGACAAGGTAACTTTCCTTGGTATCTTTTTTTGTAGACAAAGAAAAAGTATGTGCTCAGTCATGTAGTTAACACAGGATCAAAACTTTCTACTACTGCGTTCATGTTTTTTAAAGGTTATCTTGGGACATGGTGGCACTGTGGGTTAAGCTGCAGAAGCCTCTGTGCTGTAATGTCGGAAGACCAGCAGTCGTAAAATTGAATCCAGGCGACGGAGTGAGCTCCCGTCGCTTGTCCCAGCTCCTGCTAACCGAGCAGTTCGAAAGCATGTAAAAATGTGAGTAGATAAATAGGGACCACTATGGTGGGAAGGTCACAGCATTCAGTGTCTAGTCGTGCTGGCCACGTGACCATGGAAACTGCCTTCGGACAAAGGCTATATGGCTTGGAAACGGGGATGAGCACCATGCCTTAGAGTCGGACACGACTGGACTAAATGTCAAGGGGAACCTTTACCTTTACCTTATCCACTGTTTTAATTCAAGTTCTTTCCTACTTGAATGTTTAATATTTTGCAAACAATCTTTTTTTCTTGAATGACTGTCTGGAGATATCACAAATGAATACACAACGTAGATACAGAATATCCACTGTCCATGTTTAGTTCTCCCTTTAGGGATTGGGGCAACGGATCCTAAAGTAATGCTGCTCTAGTGACCAGTATCTTCTTGTGAAGCTCCTCCAGTGCACTAGGAATGCAGTCACTGGTAACAGCAGCTTGCTGCTAATTAAGGAGTTCCTTTTTCAATTTCGGGATGCTTGCATACACAACGTAGATACAGAATATCCACTGTCCATGTTTAGTTCTCCCTTTAGGGATTGGGGCAACGGATCCTAAAGTAATGCTGCTCTAGTGACCAGTATCTTCTTGTGAAGCTCCTCCAGTGCACTAGGAATGCAGTCACTGGTAACAGCAGCTTGCTGCTAATTAAGGAGTTCCTTTTTCAATTTCGGGATGCTTGCAACTTGTGCACAATGAGAAGTTGCATGTATCTTGATTTTTTAAAAAAAATAAGGATGTTTTAATTAGTGGCAATCTGTTGTCAACAGTGACGTGATACCTGCTTGTGACATTGAAGAAATGATGGACCCGGAAGACAGAAGTGTGCCGTCTGTAAGAAAAAATATATATGAAGAAACAGACCTGATAGATTTGACAGAAGGGCTGGGAAAGATGACTGTGAAAAGCATCAAAGTAAAAGACCCTGGAGAAACTGCACCAGGAGGGGGAGCTATTTTAGCAGGAAAAGAGGGAGAACTAAAAGAAGATGTGAGGGAAGAAGAGAGGCAGTTGGAAAGTAAAGAAGTAGAGGAAGGATGGTGGTCAGTTGAGGTGTGTGAGAAAATTAAACATATAGAAGGCTGGGTGGAGATAATTAAAGAAGAGCCCTGGACAGGGAATGGGTTATTTTTTAAGGTGCCTAGTGAAGAAGTGGAGCAAGAATGGAACAGAAAAGTGTATAGAAAGCTGCGTTACTGGGGCCAGGCTTCTGAGAGGTGGAGATGTAGAAAGGAGAGAGAGAGAGAGAGAGAAGAAAGGGAAGCTCAAAACCTAGAGAAGCAGGCATGTATAGAAGTGTTTGGGAAGCCCTGTGGGATGAGTCCCTTCAAACTTTATCTCAGACTGGACCCAAGCACTAGTTTTGAAGCCATTTGGGGGGCGGGCGGGTTTACCAGCCTTATCCCTCCTTAATATAGAGGTGAAGGAGTTGAGTCAAAAGGCTTCAACGCAAAACCCGGATCAAGGCATTAGTTCTATCCCATGCCTGTTGCAAGGAGATCTGTTGAATGTAAAGAAAGAAAGTGCTGGAGGAAAGATGATAGAAAAGTGAATTGTTCGTTGACTTAGATCCACTAAGTTTGATAAGTTATGTCATGTATGTCTGGGACATGGAAATCTGAGGGGGAAGGTCAAGGAAACGCTCACACTGCTACACCACAGGATGTCCTGGCCAATATTACTTTACTCTCAGCCCTAGAGAGGTGGCAATTGCACATGCCATAGGTTGGAGAATGCCACCAGCCCATTTCTAGTTGGCTATGGCTCACTGCCACTGTTGCAATCAAGCTGTGGATATGAAAAAAAGAGAGTCACCTGCCAGTGTGTTTAACTCCCTGCAACTGAAATTCTATCCCATGCCTGTTGCAAGGAGATCTGTTGAATGTAAAGAAAGAAAGTGCTGGAGGAAAGATGATAGAAAAGTGAATTGTTCGTTGACTTAGATCCACTAAGTTTGATAAGTTATGTCATGTATGTCTGGGACATGGAAATCTGAGGGGGAAGGTCAAGGAAACGCTCACACTGCTACACCACAGGATGTCCTGGCCAATATTATTTTACTCTCAGGCCTGTGGGTGATGAGTACAAAAGGGCTCACACAACCTCCTAGAGAGACGGCAATTGCACGTGCCATAGGTTGGAGAATGCAACCAGCCCATTTCTAATTGGCTATAGCTCACTACCACTGTTGCAACCAAGCTGTGGATATCAAAAAAAGAGTCACCAGCCAGCATGTTTAACTCCAGATCTAGGTGTGCAACTTTTGACACAAGACTCTAGTGCTCAGGGCTTCTCATAAGGAGGCAAGATGGCCATGTTAATAGAGAAATATTGGTAGCTCATGGTCTGAATAAGGGGGTTCACCGACTTGCCCATTTAGGATGACTCCCCCTCCCCCCCAATTGCACTATTTGTCATCCCTGTGGAGCATAAATCATGCTATTTATACTGCCTACTTTTTCCTTCCATTTAGAGTTTGGGGAGCCTCTTCTAGGCTAACCAAATTCAAATGTAGAGACAAATGTTACCCTAAGTGCTTGGCACCAGTGACTACAGAGGGTTATTTTAGCTTTTTAGAATGGAAAAATAATGCTGACAATGGTTGGGAAATTAGTAAACCATGATGTTATAGGGAAGAGGGCGTGGCTCTCAAGTCCCAGATAAGCTGTATTTGGCTCAGAGCCTGAGATTTCCCACTCTGGGCCTAAAGATTTGATGGTATGAAACAGTAAACAAAAAGGTGTGCTGCTTATATACTGCCGAAAGCACTCTCTCAGAAGTTTAGGAGTTAATTATGCATTTTACACATAACTGTGTACATTACAGACCTCAGAAGGAATGAAGGCTGAGTGAACTTTGAGCCAGCTACCTGGGACTGATCCCTGGCTTGTGAGCACAGTACAACGGTTTAGCCACTGTGACACAAGGTGCTTTTTTCATTAGTAAATCCTAATAAAATGGCTATTAAAGTAATAGATAGAAAGTGAGTTGATCGCAGTAAGATGTCCCCCACCAATATCATACCTGATACCAGGAATATGCTCGGTCAGATGGATCAATGAGAATGGTGATGATTTTTGCTTTTGGAATCAAGGAGGCAGCCCGTTTGGGAGCTTCTTCTGAATGAAAGTAGTTGGCACTTTTCTCAAACAAGATATCAGTGGTGGTATTAGAAGGGGTGGGGAAAAAGCTCATATACCTACAAGTAAAATATAATAGTAAAACATGTTAGAACACTTCTTCTCCACACAACCACAAAGTAAGTATTTCATAATCTGGAAACCTATGTACTGGATGTGCATGTGTGTGGAAATAAATATGTGTGTCTCAGGTCAACTATGTACATTGGGGCAATCATGAACAAATGTAGACCATGACATATCATCACCTATAGGCACTACAGTGTATGCCCCAAGATAAGGAAAGGAGATCAAGTGGCCCTAGATAAGTTGCTAAACTACAGCTCTCACTGTGCTTGACCACCGACTATGCTGGCTAGACAAACTCCAACACACTGAAGGCATACCACCACACATATATCCAGTCACATCTGATATTGGAAGTTATGCAGGATCAGGCCTGGTTTATACTAGCACGGCATAGCACTGAGGACTGCTAGAGATTTCCAGATAGAATTAGGAGATAATCCAGCCTGAAACCCTGGAGAGCTAATACTGGCCAGATTTTATTTACTGAAGATACCAGGGATTGGATATGGAAACTTATTCATGTGGAGCCGTGGTTCTCACCTTGGGTTCCCAGATGTTCTTGGATTAAAACTCGCAGAAATCCTGAAGAGCAGAAATCCTGAAATCTTCTTCACCAACAATTGCAGTCCAAGAGCATCAAGGAACTCAAGGTTGGGAATCACTGATGCAGAGTATGGTTGCAACTAGAGATGGGGGTATTCGTATACAAATGCCCCCCACACAGCTGGACATAATGAGGATCCAGTCCACTCATGCATCCGCTCGAATCACTCTGGAGCTTGCAGTCGGCTATCCACTCCTGGCAGAAGGAGGGAAGACAAGTCTCTCTGCCAGGCTGATGAGTGGATAACCAACTGTGAGCTCTGGAGCGACTGGAAGGGAGAGCAGAGCCAGCAGTGGTGGTGTCATTGTGAGTGGATGGTCTAGCCCCAGGATGTGCAGGGGTATTAATACTCAAATATCCCCATCTCTAGTTGCAACCATTCAGCTAGAGCCCTTCTGTATAATATATTCCTGTAAAGTCTTTATCATAATGCCACAGTCCTATTTGTTATGCCTACTGGAATAAAACCACATTAAATCTTGGTTATGAATTGCCCCCAGGTCAATGTAGGCATTTGTTTTGGAAATCAGTTGTGTGATGGGGGCAACAGCATGTGCCTACATCAACATCTCAACATGTGGCAATTCACAGTTGAAAGTTATGTTGATGGAGTTTTGCCTGGGTAATTTTTTAATTGGATTCTACCCACTGTATAATATCTGCTCATCTGTCTGTCTATCTGTCTGTCTGTCTGGTACTTCTGCTTTATTTTCACTGACATAATCATTCCCAAAGTTGATTTTGCATTTTCTCTGCTCCTGATGCTAATTCACAATACATCTGGAACAGCCAATTAAAAACAAATTAAAAGAGACAAGAAAGGAACAAAAGATGAAAGCCCAACTCTTTCATCAACTGCATTTGTTTACGGGAAAACATAAATATTGGTATAATAATGTCAAGTGAGGGGGAAAAAAAGAGACCCTTCCTTGCAAACCTCAGTTCAAACTAATTTCCAAATCATTCTCGTGCAGAACATTCATCTGGAAATTATGTAGATGTCACAAATACTTCTATAATTGCTCCTCTGTGGTTTAGCATATGCTAACAATGGACATTTGTAATTTTTCTTACCAGTCAATTCCCTTATGATAGTTGTTTCCATTAAAGAACTGAACTTCTTCAAAGGTTTTTGGACTAGGGAGATTACTAATGATGGAAGGATGCATAAGGAGAAATAAATAAAGTGCTGTTGTTCCTACAGGGACAAAAAAAAATATCAACAGAAGGTAGGATTATATCATAGTTTAAGAAAGGACAAGGGTAGAAAGCATTTAGAAATATTTTTTTCAGGAAATATATTCCCTTGTGAAGAAAAGAATCCCAGTTATGGAAAAAATATGTTAATAGTATCAGTCCTAGCAAAGACTTATTAAATTGCTTAAATTTTGCTCTCTGATGAGCTAATGAGGCCCCTACTGACTTCAGTGGCAAGCCTGTCTGTGTGTTTAAAGGCAACATTTTCCAGGCACCTCAGAAAGTATTTTTAGCACAATAATCTACCGTAGTTTATGGACATGATCTTTTACACCCATCCCAACCTATCCTACACTCCTATATATGTGTAAAGATGTATACGTATTTTTCTGGTTTTATGGCTCTATGTCCAACTGAACTATTAAGTGGTTTCACCTTTTGTCCAAAAGAATGTCTACCAAAGCACACGTACTAAAAATAGTATCTCTTCCAACTGCTGTCAAGAGCATATGGTGGGTGTAAATCTACAGCTTTTTCCATGCTCACCATAATATTGTGAGGCTGACCAAGCTAAAAGGAAGTAGTTTTCAGGTAACCTGGCACACTTTATGACAGGGAATATATATCCATTTTGCTGTAAAATAATGGAATCTATTGCAATCTACTCCAAAGAAATGTGATTAGAATTAGAATTAGATCCATGCAACTGAATTAGATCCCTGCAACATCAACTGAGATCTGATCCAATGCAGAGTAGATCTGCATTGGATCAAAACTCGGTCAGATTGGTCCAAAGAGGTTTGATAAATCCAGACATTAAAGTAAGGAAAAGTGCACATCTGTCTCCAAAATACTGCAAACAGCAACACAAAAGGAAGAGGCCTAGGGTGGGGAGGAAGGCAGGGATAGGGCAAGAGCTGGACGTTCCTCATTAATAGCTCTAGCTTCAAATATTGGCAACAATCTCAGCTTCTTGTTGTTACTCCTCTTTTACTGAACTCTGGACAGCACAATGACAATTTTGACTTTGGAATCTCACTAACACTCTCCAGATCAGAGAGCTGGGGAGAGAAGAATAGTGAAGAATAAATAATCAATCTTCTCTCTTCTGCACTATGGCTAGTCTTCTGTTACGAGTAGCAGCAGAAACAAGAGCTTTGCTGGAGTTCTGTGGCACTTTTTTGTTTACTGCCTCTCCTTCCATATATGATCCTTGTGGTGCAATTGTTAAACTGCAGTACTGCTGTCAAGCCTCTGCTCACAGCCTAATTCCAACAGGCTCAGGTAACTAACTCAAGGTTGTCTCTTCCATCATTCTGAGGTCTGTAAATTGAGTACCCAGATCACTGGAGTGGGGGGGGGATGTGTAGCCTGCATAACTAAATTGTAAATTGCCTAGAGAATGATTTAAGCACTATGGGGCAGTATATGAGCAGCACACTTTGCTTTGCTTTATAATTTATTTATTTATTATTTATTTATTTTTATGCCACCTTTCTGTCTATAGGGGACCCAGGGTGGTTCACAACAATTTAAACTGTACATTATAGCAATTTTAAAATGCTGCGTAAAACTATATTAAAAACATAAATCCATATTAAAAACAATTTTAAAAAGACTTGAATATAACTTGATTTCATAAACTGAGTGTTCTATAGACCCCCACTTATTGCACTTATTGCTTAAAAGCCTGTCTAAAAAAGAAAGTCTTTGCCTGATGACAGAAGGACTAGAGGGAGGGAGCCGACCTCGCTTCTTGGGGCAGTTTATTCCAAAGCCTGGGAAGAGCCACTGAGAAGGCCCTTCTATCCTTGGCTCCTCAAAAAATGGAAGTGACCTGGGCCCCTCTCCAATTCTGAGAGGGCGAGGTTGTGTTTGTCTGTGTATACTGTGAGTGTGTGTCAGTCTAAAGGCACAAAGTGCATAGAAACACTGCCACAGCGCAGAAAATCCATATTTATACCACATATCTTAAAACAATTAAGGGAGAAAATAGCTGTGGCTAGTACAAACGCCTCTGGACCCACCTCTCTGCAATTTGGAGCCTTAGTCCCATTTGAAGGACTGCTATGTCTCCAAACTTCATTCAATTTCATGCAAAAAATTATGGTAGTTTTCATCTCTCAGTGTAAGTCAACAAGAAGCACAGTTTTGGATTTGAGATGTAGATTCAGTCCTAGAGCAACTTATGGCCCAACTAGTTTTGGATTTGAGATGTAGATTCAGTCCGAATTGCCCTAGAGCAGCTTATGGCCCAATCGGAATCACCATATTGGGCCACAAACCCACAGACTGTAGTCCTTTCTACACCCAAATAGTGAAGACATTGGCTAAGGCTTCTGGAACAGACTGTCACAAAAAGTGGTGGCTCTTCTTAGTTGGACCTTTTCATCAGATGCTTCACGGTCATCTGTCAAGCATTCTGTAGTACTGAACATGCTGCTGTAGTACTGAACATACATTGGTAGGCACAGAGCCCAGGGAATTTTCAGATCTCTTCTAATGTTATGATTCCTCTCAAAGAGAAATGAGTTGAAGATGTCATGGCTCAGAAAGGGAAGATGAAATAATGTCTGATTTCAAACCTGTTTACAGCTGTGACCTTTTAAATCAGTTTTATGTAATTAGGTTCAGACGATTTTAAAGTTTTATCTAAAAGCTTTATTTTTTTCACCATAGTTGGTAAACAAGTTGATCTGATTAGCAAGTCAATGAGGTTTTCTTAAATATGTCATGTTATGTTGTGGTGGGAAGAAAAGAGAAATGGTTCGAAGACAATGATAATTTCATATCAAGAATGAGATTCCACCAGTTACTTGTCATCATCTTACTAGACCCTAGGGAGTCTGTAAACAGGGCAATGCAAGAAGTTTTCTTCTTGCTATGAGGTAGTTTACAGTATTTGTTATTTCATTTCATTTTAAATATTTCTATTCCACCTTTCTCTCTGAAAGGGCACTAGGTGGCTGAGGACTTCTGCAAATCTCTGTAAATCGGAATATTTAAAAGTGTAATACGCATGTAGGCTTGTTAATTATGATATATTCAAAAGTGGTTCCTTTGGACCTTAGTTTGTGCCTTGGTGATTATTCAGCCTGCCCCTTTGTGCTTGTTGTATGTGGGATTAGATCCATGAAGGGAGAAGACACATGGTGTTCATAGATAAATTCAGTAGCTCACAATTCTAGGATTTTCCAGACAAGACAAATTTCCCACATCCACTTCAGCCAGACTTCAGGCACAGTTGTGGTTGCCTTGGTGGATGGTCTAAGATGGGAACTGAAGAGCAGGAATGTGTCCTTGTCAGTTATTCTGGACTTCTCTGAGGCTTTTACACCACTGACCACTGTATGCTTCTGAATCATCTTTCCTGCGTGGGAACTGGAGGCACTTATTATGATGCCTCTGGACATTCCTAGAGTGGCAGGTTCAGAAGATAGTACTGGAGGCCATTTTGACAAAGTGGCCATTACCACAATGTCCCTCAGAGTTCTATCTTATCCCCTATGCTGACATATATTAAAAACAACAACACTGGGAGAGGCTATTCAGCATTATGAGATTCAGCATCACCAGTATCATGAGTATAGTCAGCTCCATCTCTTTTCCCCCATCTGTACCCAAAGAAATTGTTTTGGCTCTGAACTAGTATCTGTGCCAATAAGGAGATCTGACCTGATGAGGCTTACAATGCTGTAGCTGAATCCAGAGGTGCCCCTTCTAGTCAGTCAAAATTTGAGCCAAAGAATGGGGATTCAGTCTGTGTTTGATAGGATCAAACTGTCCTTGAAGATGTAGTTATTAAGTTTGGTTGTGTTCCCAGATTCAACACTGAATTTACATGCTCAGGTTTCAGAAGTGGCCAAAAGAGTGTTTACATAGTCATGGCTAGTGTACTATAATACCTGTTCCTGAAGATGTCAAATCTGGTCAGAGTGACACTTGTCTTAGATACAGTACAATCTATTCCAATCGCTTGGAAACATCAACTGGTCAAAAATATTATGACCAGAAAGTTGATAGGACCTGGTTGCAGGAAGCATGGGACTAGTTTGACACAGTTTCACTGACAACTAGTATGTTTCCAGGCACAATTAAAAGTGCTAGTTATGACCTTTATCTACCTTGGGGACAAGCTATATTCGGTCATATAAGTTCCTTGAATGTTAATATATTCAGGGTAGCCTTTCTCACAGTTGTGTCATCCTTAAAAGCATGTTTGGTGGGAACTCAACAGAGGTCCTCTTCAGTAGCTAATCTCAAGCTCTAAAATGACCTGCTAAACACTGGAAACTAAGTTGGTCCCATTTCTATTGCCCTTCCACACAAAGGCAAATACGTTTTCTGTTACATATTTATTTATTTATATGCTATTTATGCCAGGTTGCTGTTGAAGATATTGTAACTGGTTAATGGCCATCATCATCATCATCATCATCATCATCATCATCATCATCATCATCATCATCATCATCATCATCATCATCATCATCATCATCATCATCATAATGAACATCACTATTATCGCTATCATTATTATTATCACTATCATCATCATCTGCACTTGACAGCCAGCTGAAGCAAATTCTGCTTTTCTGCTGGGTATACCTGTATGATAAGAGGTGCATCTACCTGTTTTGAAATATGTATTTCTCTTATTCATTTATAACAATTTAAAATGTATTCTTAATAAATTTGGGTGTACATTAAAATGTGCTTCAACCCTTTCATCATTGCATTGCTGTATTTCATTTGCTGGCTCAAGGACTCTTCCTTTGGCAGAATGTTTAATTCCTTCCTGAGCTTATTTGTTGCTGAAAGAGATGCAGGTTATTTTCTTTCTGTCTTGGGATATATTGGCTGAAATCCTACTCATGCAGCTATATCACGTGACATTAGCAACCACTCAGGTTTTCGGGAAATAAACATGACTGATTTCTCACCCACCCCAAATCCCATGACTCTTATTGAATCCCTTTCATCATGGGGAAGCTTTTGGGAGCCATGCTTTCGGGGGCAAGGGATGGTGAATGTCTTTAATTTCTGAAAATCTCCACCCCAATAAAGTCATCCTGCTGAATGTGATTTCTGGAAATTAACACCCCTCCCAATTCTGGGACACCCCCACCCAATGTCTTACCCATGATGAAAAGTATCTCATGTGAGCCTCAGGATACTGGGTAGGGTGGGAGGAATCAGGGATTTTTAATTTCCAAAAACAAGCCACAGCAGATGATATCCTATTCCTTATTCAGCTGGATTTCATCCAGTTTATTTACTGGGGACATCGTTCAGAGCATAGTGTTTCTTCCTTTTGCATAATAGTTTGTAATGTTTCTCATCTTCAACATTATCATCAGATGTCTCTTCAAGTCTGCAGACCTGAGACAATTCCACACGTGGGATGAGGAGAAACACTGATAAAGGAAATGGCAGGAGTAACTTTTGGGTCTTTCTTTGAAAATGGCATAGATGGAGACAAAACGGCAAAATGGATGAATGACATAAGCTTATAGGTTAAAATTGAAAAAGAGAAATGACTTTCTATATTTCTACATTCTATTTTTTTTTGCATGAAAAATTGCTACTCAAGAAAGTCATGCAGTTAAAAAAAAATTTTTAACAGTGACAGAATGTGGTTCATATATTGCATGGCAAATAGTTTGTCTATAGCCATAGGATTACACAGATTGGTTCAAGAACCCTCAGCCAAACACTGGCAATGTAGGGGAGACAGGAAAAGATCTATGATTATAGTTGCTCCCCATGGATTTCATAAATTACAGCATGACCCTCAGACGACCACTTTCTGGACCATCTGGGAAATATTTATTTTTATTATGCAATGCACCATCTGATTACCTGTTTTTTGGGGTCCAATCACAAGAAATTTTGGTAGGTGGTTACATGTTTTGTCTCTAGACCAGATGTCCCGATGGCGCCTGTCATCACATGGATTCTGGTTGCCAGAAAAGAAGCAAATTAGTTTTGGAAGACATCTAAATAGTCAACCTTCTGTCCTGCTTAGAAAATGTTGTTTATTCCTGTGCTGGATTGCAATCTTCCATCACCTGATTTGGGATCTGATGTGAAGACAGAACTGGTTTCAATACGTGCAGGCTGAAAAATCATAATGATTACTAAAGTGAAGATTGAACATAAACAAATAGCTTGCTTGATGGCCCACAACTGATCAACTCAACTGAAGTCAGAGCACTGAGACTCATTCTCCACCGTATAAAAGTCCATCTTTTTATTTGTTTTGGATTTGCTTAGCTCGGTGAATTCATTGCTCTTCTCGAGGAATTGTCTTCTGGTGCCAAAGAACCTACCACTGAACCAGCATATCAATCTGTCAGATTCTGTTCTGTGCCTACACCAAAGTAGTTACTGCTGCATATTGGTCAATATGTACAGGCTAGGAAACAGATCCATAGTACTTAGTTTTTTGCAAACCTTTTTCAAAAATTACTCAGTAATAATAGAGGTTGACTATAAAAAACACCCTAAAGTATATAAACTGAACTTGACTAGCAATTTATGGAATATTGTGATATTTTGAGTTGTGATGTGAGCATGTTCAATTAATCCAGTGATTCCAAACCTTGGTTCCCAGATGTTCTTGGACTAAAATTCCCCAAAGCCTTCACCACTAGCTGTGATTCCAGGATTTCTGGGAGTTGTAGTCCAAGACTGGGGACTAAGATTTGGAATCACAGGATTAACCTATTAAGCAACATTGTGTGGCTTCCTGTTATCTTCCTTGAAATGGAAGATACAGAGGAGGGGCAAGGTATGTTCTTGATCATCCCAGCGTTCAGGACATGCAACAACGGACTTAAGTTAAAGGAAGCCATATTTCAGTTGAATATCAGGAAAAAAAATCCTAAGAGTTAGAGCAGTATGACAGTGGAACCAATTAACTTGGGAGGTGGTGAGCTCTCCAACACTGGAGGCATTCAAGAAAAAAATTGAACAACTATCTCTCAGATTTGCTTTCATGTGGGTTTCTGCATTCACAAGGAGATTTGGACTCAGTGGCTTTATAGACCCCTTCCAACTCAATGATACAATGATTCGATGATTCAAGTTTATTCTCAGGCCAATTCATACCTAATGTGTCATTCAGATTCATGCGTTACCAGTTTTGATTTGGGATTGCTACAAATCTGCATGTTTGCTGGTTTTCTTGTTTTTGAAGAAGGTCATAAGCATATAAATTTAAATTTATTTATTTCAAACACAGGTGGCAAATAAGTTTCTAAGTCAAATTGTTTAACATTTGCATGAGTGCGTCATGAGTGCATAAAAAAGACAAAACAGTGAATCACAGCTTGAAGTTATTTAGCAATTTATCTTTTGACCATGTGTTAATGAGGAAGAAAATGAAAAAGAAGGCTGCTCAAAAGAGCCATAACACTGGAACTGCCTTGGTAAAGAATCCTTGTGTGTTAAATACCCTGGGCTAGATATTCAGATTGATCAAACAGCTTTATTACTGTGCCTTAAAGCAAAGGGATAATCCTTTTTCACAGCAATGTAAATTGTAATGGAATTTCCCTTTTACTAACAGAAGGAGATGCTGTATTAAATCTGATCATTGCTGGGTCTTCCTCCATATTATCTACTGATGAGGAATAGTAGACTTTAAAACTGTCCCTGTTAGTCAGTCATTTTGTTTTGCTTTTGACAGAGGCATTTCTAACACCTAAATCAGTGGTGGTGGGTTCATTTATTTCATTTTTATCTAATTATAGTTTCTTTGATTTTCCTTGTTACTGTCTACATTAATTACAATGGAAACGCAGCATATCTCCTGATGTTTGTGTTATTTTGAAATTTTCCTTTCAAATGTCATGACCTTTTCAGATGTTACACTACTTTGCCATGGCATCAGAGCAGCTCCATTTCAGAGAGATTGGACCAAAAAAAGTACCCATTTTATAAGCCCAAACAGGTGATTAGTATCCTCTAAGCTTCCAGGTGCTGCAGTTTACATAGGTTTTCATGCCTTGTCCCATTCACAGCTCTTCGGACTTCTCTCTTTCCTACAGAATATTCCCTAGATGTATTGATTTTTAAATATTTTTCCAAGCAGTGCAGTGAAACACAAGAATGGCCAGAGAGATTATCCTCCCTGAAGTTTCAGACACATATGTGCCAGTGGACTTTTCTCTCCACAACCATCCTGTGATGTACAGGGATAAGATACTCAGCCAACTTAGTGGGGCCTCTATTTAAACACAGTTTGTTGGGGGAGGGGAAGCAACATGAAGGAGGAATTAAATTTAAAATAGAAGCAATTGGGTGGGAAGGTCACACATGATAATCTCAGATCAAGTTAAAACCCTGCAGGTTTTCTTTAAGGGGAAAAATAGAGTGACCTGTGCTATGTAAGTGATGTAATGTATAGATTGAACTGTGCAAGACCCAAATGGGTAGGTTTTATTTTTCCGTGAAGTATATATTTCAGTTTGATGGGTCTTTGTTTGAAGGCTCTCCTTAAGAACTGGAACACTGAAAGGGGCTGGCCCCACTGATTTTCAAAGTGGTTGGTACAAAGTGGAGGCACATCTTTCCACCATGATGCCATGAGGCACCCCGACCCTGCTTGAACTACAGGCTACTAATACCTTCTAATTCCTTGGGTCATTCCCCACGCTTGGATAGCAGAGCTAATTGTGCAACACAACCAGTTCACACCTGCTAAAGCAGCCTGTTGCCTCAGGTACAGTGGGCAGTCTTCGTCTTCTACCGCAATCGTCAACTGCCAACCTATTCAGCTACAGTAGATGGGTGCTGATGAGACAACTTGTTTACCTCAGGTAGCAAAGTACATGTGGTGCTACATTTAACAGGCCAACCTATTTTTTTGTGCAGAGATGTGCAGGATGTGACAAATGGGCTTGATAAGACATCAGTGATCTTGAAAGCTTGCACTTCTTTTTGGTGCCTTCCAGTTTGACCGAATAAGCACCTTGCCCCATATATTTTTTTGTAATATGTAACTGAAGTTCAGTGATTCCAGACTACAGCACGGACTGTCTGCATTGTCTGCCTGAGCCTTGCCTGTGCATCAGAAGAAATTAATGCAAGAAATGCTCAAGGAACATAAAAGAGAAAAGAAATCCATCCCTCACAGCCCCAATCTCCTTCTCTGTCAAATAAACAACAAGCAAGCTAATAGCTGATCCTTTGCAGCCTGGCTTTAGGCAGGTGTTAATGAAGGTAATGTGACAGTCAGTTCCTTATCTGTTCACTAAGGCATTGCTCGGCTGAATTGCTGACTTCGGAAAAGGAAATTAAATGAATCTAGCAAGCCATTTAAAACAGATTAAAATGTCTTAATTGGTAGACATTGCTCTTCTAATTGTTCCTCAACAGTCCTGCTGGCAACAACATTGCAAATGAAGGCTGGGCTCATGCTGTGCGCTCAGCTGAGTATTACCTGCCACAGGGGGTCTTTTTGCTCCGGGAAGAGCTCAAAGTACTTCTGAGCCAGTTGGAGTGGAGGTAGCGTCTGCAGCCTCAGGTTGGTCCAGCCTTGCACAAAACTGGCCAGATTGACAAATGTGTATAAACCCAGACGGTCATTCCCATAGTTAGACAAGTGAGTCATGAAGATGCTGATCTGAAAAAGGCAACACAGAAAAGGATTTGTCAGTTGCAGGCACAGGAAGCTATCACTAGATGGCAGCAGCTTTATTTTAACTTGGCCTTAGACCAGCTGTTGTTGTTCAAAGACTTCCACCCTATGCCTATCTCTGTTCTTGCAAATTTATTGCCTGCAGGGGCAGATTTTGGAATACTGAAAGAAAGAAGAGAAGAGAAGAGAAGACTATAGTAGCAATTGTACTGTCTTTATCAGTATCAAGATATGGCTTGGATTTCCCTGAGCTTTTTCAGTTAATTTCACTGGTGTGGTCTGTTGGCTATCTGTACTTTTGAAAGCCTGTCACACTTTCAAGCATTAGAGAGCTGGGCGTTCAGAACAGCTGCCTTTAGCAGATAAACATCTAAGCTTGGCCTAATGCATTCACTTAGAAGCTCCCCACAAGGTTTGGTGAATGTCATCAGGTACTAGACATACTTATAATTTGTTTACAACCTTGAAAGGCAGGACATGGACTTATTCTCCTCAGGCACAGATGCTTCTTTCGGGAAATGAAACCAGACTGTTATAGGTACTTCTCATTTCTAATTGTTCACTTCAGTTGTTGACAGTAAATATTGCTTAATATCTCCTGGGAAATGGGTTTCTTCGCTGCATCCCTATGTACCATGAGGAAGACAGCAAGCACTCCATATTGCTTTCAACCATGCACAATCCTTATTTTTCACTTATAGCTATATCACAAGACTTTTCTTTTTGTATAGGGTTGGCAGAATCAGCATAAACTTAAGGCTTTCAGATAAAAGTTCAATTAAAATAAAAATTTAAACAATTCCACTAAACAAACAAACAAACAAACAAAAAACAAATTAAAAAGAACTTAGAAAATTAGGGTTTTTTGGACGATATCTCCCATTTCCCCCTAGCCAGCATAGCTGAATAGAGGAAGTGAGGATTCCATATCCTGCTCTCAACCAGTTCTTTCAGAAACCTGTTTCCATGAGGGAAGAAAGAAGGAGGCTCATTTGCTCACATCCACTGTTCCCGTAACAAACAAACAAAAAACAAATTAAAAAGAACTTAGAAAATTAGGGTTTTTTGGACGATATCTCCCATTTCCCCCTAGCCAGCATAGCTGAATAGAGGAAGTGAGGATTCCATATCCTGCTCTCAACCAGTTCTTTCAGAAACCTGTTTCCATGAGGGAAGAAAGAAGGAGGCTCATTTGCTCACATCCACTGTTCCCGTGGGCTCCTGTGGGCTCCAGGTGAGAAGTGCACAGACATCACTTTCTCTCTCCCCACCTCATTTCCAGCAGTTCCAGTTAAGATATTTGTCCCCATTACACTGTTTCCAAGGGAAAAGGAGGGTGGAGAGAATCAGCTGTGCATAACCCCTGTGATATTGGGGGTGACGCCTAACCCAGCCACAAAACCTTATGTCCTAAAACTCACCCAAATAAAGCACATTTCCAATGGAAATACATGCATACAGAGAAAGCTTGTACCGCTTCATAAGAGTTATTTATGAACTGATTCCCAAGTGCAAAATACAGCAATACATTTTTTAAAAAGTAACAAAGCAGAATTCTCAGGCTTTTCTCCCTTCAAAATACAGATAACCAGAGGGATGACCTTTCCCGGCTGCTTGCTTAAGTGTGCTTTCAAAATAAAAACACATTGATTTGCCCATATGTGACCTTCATGACTTCCTAATGATTTGCAGAGTGAATCATATATCATATAAAATGGTCATTATTGGAGCCCTTATTTTCTGCTCAGTTGCAGGCAATTTTGAATAATTCCTCGAAATAAGTGTAGTAATATGTTTTAAAAAGATACAAGTGCAGTAATATGTTTTTAAAAGATACAAGGTACTACTGGACTGGGAAATTAGAAGAGGTAACAGTAGCGTATCAGGAGAAAACAAATGAAAAATAAAAAAATTGAGAAGATGAAGACTTTGTGGCCCTTTAAAGACTGTTATATTTTAATGTGAGCTTTTGTGGACAAATCCATTTCCTATTATTAAACATGGGGACGAATATAAAAATGAATCAGGGATATTCAACAAATATCCCTGATTCATCAGATATTCGTTGCTTCATATTCTTGGGACATCCAGAGATCCCCACGAATACGAAGCAACAAATATAACCCTTTTAAATTTGTCCCTTTGTTCCCTATCTGCTTATGACCCCCGTGGATCAGCTGTTCCTTGGAGGTATAAGCAGAGAGGGACTTTCCCTTCTGGCGGCTTTCTAAAGATGGTGGCTGTGGCTTCTTTTAGGGCACTGAAGCTGCAGCCACCATCTTTGCAAAGGGAGCCTGGATTCCCTTAAGGCAGGCTGTGGCTGCGGAGGCCACCACAGGTGATAGATGGCAGCAGCAGTGGGCTGCAATCGGTGACGGCAGCTCTGGGCAGTGTCGGATAGTGACAGCGGCTAAGGGAGAGAGGGGAAGGGGGTGAGGGGTCGGTTGTGTGGCTGTCTGTCTGTCTATCAGCCTGCCAATCAGTTGAACAGCGGGCCCATAGGCAGAATGGGAAGGCCACAGGAAGAGAGGGAAGACTAGCCTTCCTTCTCTTCATTTGGGGGACTAATAAAAATGGCCAAATATCCATCCCTTCATATTTGTCGGGGTCTCTGGAACTCACAAATATAAAGGGATGAATGTTTAATGAATTAGTGATTTTTAACGAATATCACAATTCATTTTTTTTATTCGTCCCCATGTCTAGTCAATATGTATAGAAAATACAACAGAATATGCAACGAATCAGCAGCTATAGTGAGCGCATCAGGCAAAGAGCAGAGCTGGTGACAAATCTGGCTGATGTGCATATTAACATGCCTGATCCCCAGTTTCTAGACAGATAAATCCTATTCAGCCATTACCTTTATAGACAGGTTCACTGGATTTTGAGAGGTGTGGTTCCTCTCTCTGTTGTCACTCTCTACAAATAGAAAATGATTTGTCTGCAAAGGAGAGGTCCCTGCTCACATGTAGGGTCTTCATAGGAATAGGAACCCCAGTTTTCCAGGGTTCTTGCTGATGTGTGGAGCCTGTACACAAGTAAGGATCAGTTCTCTGTAGATGCATCATTTGCCCTGTGTAGAGAGGTTAGTGTGGGAGTGGGGACTGTAGTTTTTTGTACCACTGTTGGAGTCACTGAGTGGCAGACACTATCTCTTCAGAAGTGCAACGTTTGCTCAGGAATATGAAAATTCTTGTGGGTTTAGTTCATATTTTTTACAGCTGATTTCAGTTGGGCTAGAACTAAATTGTTTAAGATTTTGCATATAGCCTGTTTGTGTGAATAAGTATATGTGTCTATACAGCGGTGCCTCGCTTAACGAGTGCCCCGTTTAACGAAAAAATCGCATAGCGATGGCTTTGTTGCCATCGCTTTTGCGATCGCACAACGATCTTGCCTATGGGGAAAAAGTCCGGGAACAGCCAGGGTAGGCGGCGCGGAGAGGCTTCAAGCTCCCCGGTCCCCCCCCCAGCCTGTCCCCGGAGCTCGGAAGGGAATTGTCGGCAGGGGACGGTGGCTTCGGGGGCCTTCCGAGGCCGCAGCCCACTGCCGACCTTTTCCCCCAGCTGAGCAGCGGGAGCTTTGACGCCCCGCTGCTCAGCTGGGGGAAAAGGTCGGCAGTGGGCTGCGGCCTCGGAAGGACCCCGAAGCCGCCGTCCCCTGCCGACAATTCCCTTCCGAGCTCCGGGGACAGGCTGGGGGGGGGACCGGGGAGCTTGAAGCCTCTCCGCGCCGCCTACCCCGGCCGTTCCCGGACTTCCAGAAGTCCGGGAACGGCCTGGGTAAGCAGCGCAGAGAGGCTTCAAGCTCCCCGGTCCCCCCCCCAGCCTGTCCCCGGAGCTCGGAAGGGAATTGTCGGCAGGGGACGGTGGCTTCGGGGGCCTTCCGAGGCCGCAGCCCACTGCCGACCTTTTCCCCCAGCTGAGCAGCGGGAGCTTTGACGCCCCGCTGCTCAGCTGGGGGAAAAGGTCGGCAGTGGGCTGCGGCCTCGGAAGGACCCCGAAGCCGCCGTCCCCTGCCGACAATTCCCTTCCGAGCTCCGGGGACAGGCTGGGGGGGGGACCGGGGAGCTTGAAGCCTCTCCGCGCCGCCTACCCCGGCTGTTCCCGGACTTTTTCCCCATAGGCAAGATCGTTGTGCGATCGCAAGAGCGATGGCAACAAAGCCATCGCTATGCGATTTTTTCGTTAAACGGGGCACTCGTTAAGCGAGGCACCACTGTATAGGTATGTATGTGTTGTTGTGTATGTATAAACAAACAGACTTGTGTATCAAGAAAAGACAAGAATTTCCGTTCCTTAATATGTAGGAACAGGAAAATGAGAAGAAGAAAAGAATGAATAAGCAGTGAGGATGGAAGAAAAGAGAAATTTGCAAGAAAGAAAATGCTGTCCAACTGGGTTTTATCTGAATTTTAAGCATGCAAACTGGTGCTTTTTTAGATAGCTGGATTCCCAGCTTTCCTTATAAGAAAGAGTAAATTGAAGGGATGTGAATTTCTCACACTCTAATTTTTGGCAAGAAAATCTCTCTTTTCTCTCCATAATAAGACTTCTAAGTATTTTCTATTTTGACAGTGAGAGAGAAAGATATCTCACAAGATTGTTGGGTTAATTCATAGCCATGTTTTTATGGGAGAAACACTATGCAGAATTATTTCATAGCATCTGGACAAAATTGTGTTTTCCTTGAACATGATTCTTCATAAATGGCAGAATACTGCTGTTTCTTGTGTAAAAAGCACACTCCAAGAAAAAAAAGAAGAAAGAAAGAAATCTCACTTGTGTGCAGGAAGTCTCAGTGAGAAGTTTCTGAATGGTGAAAGTGGAAAATTGCTCAGAATGTTTTGAGTATTCTTCATATCCCTTGTAAGAGGTGTACTGTATATATAAACCACAATTATATTCAATGCCTTTAATTTCTGTTGCTTCCTTCTAAGGAACCTTGGGATTTATACTCTGCCGAGGTAATCAGAGGAAGTA